TTCTCTCTCACCCCCTTATTTCTCTCTCTCACCTCCCCCCCCTTCTTTCTCCCCCTCCCCCCTACCTCCCTGTAGCGTGGCCGAGCCCTGTATAGTCCGCGGGTACAGGGAGCTTTTGTTTCCTGTACCCGGCCGGACTAACAGGAAGTGCACACTCAGTGTGCACTTCCTGTTAGTCCGGCCGGGTACAGGAGACAGCTGCTCTCTGTACCCGTCGGACCATGCTGCAGTGAGGGAGCTGACAGGAGCGCTCCCTCCTGTCAGCCTCTCCTCAGGCTGCGCCCGGGCGGTGCGGTCCGCCCTCATGGACGCACCGCCCGGGCAAAGCTGCAGCCGCCTGAGGCTCTTCACAGAGCGCTCGGGCGGCTGCAGCATGGGGGGGGGCGGCAGGGCTGGTCATGGCACCCCCCACCCTGGTGGCACCCGGGGCGGACCGCCCCCCCCTTAGTACGCCACTGGTGTCAAGGTGTGTGTATGTGTTACTGTGTGTATATATGTGTGTCACTGTGTGTATCTGTCAGTATGTGTATCAGATACATGTGCACACACACACACACAGATACACACACCTTGACACACATATGCACACTGTGTCAAGGTGTGTGTATCTGTGTATCAGATACAGATACACACTAGCACACAGACACACCGGCACATACAAACCCAGATACACACAACTTGACCCACAGATACACATACATACAGATACATATATACACACACATACACACTGACACACTCACCAGCACATACCAAAAAAAAAAAAAATGGGGGGAGGGGAGGAGGGGCGGTTCCACAATGTTGATACACTATGTCAAAGGGTTACACAGGAAAATTAATTGGGAACCCCTGGCTTAGCTAAAGAGACATAACAAACGCTCTTGCTTAGGAGTTTCTGGCTCATTGGCTGAAATAGTGGAGGCAGGGAGCAGCATCTGCAGACTCCAGGTAAGAAGTCAAACCATCAGATACCTTCTTCACATAATCCCTAAAAAAAAGTGAGTCCACTTTGAGCAAGGCTGCTTGAAGTTGAATATTTTTGTAAAATCCTGCATTTGAATGAAAAAAGAAAAAAATATTGTGGAGAGAGGGGAAGGCACAACCATAACACTTCTGCAGAATGTTCAGAGAACATGCCCAGCAACCAATGACTGGCAAGTCTCCATCCTCTTACACACTCCAACCCACCCTCTAGATTAGTGGGGAATAC